CGTCTGTTGTACTGCACCAGTGTGTTTTGGGGTAAACCACTCTTGAAAATTCCTGGGAATTTTCTCAGAACTTTCAAACCTTGTCAATGGTGCAGGACAGAGGGTTTGGCAGTGTTTAGTCGTTCGGAAGGGACAAAAAAATCGAGGTGCCTTGCTCACCTTAGAAGAACCCTCGAAATTTGGAATTTCTGTAACAACATAGCGTATGCCCGTCTTTAGTAGTCCAGTCGGTGCATGAAAGTAGGATGTTAAACCTATTTCATTTCATTTGTTATCAGCCTTAATAATACAGTTTGACTCTATATTAGTACATGCTAGTAGACCAGGGATTTCACGAACTTTTTAAGTACCGGTAACAGGAAATTTTGCTAAAGTAAAGAGCAGCAAATGTTAGGGCCAACCGACTCTGCGAGCAACCCAGGCACCACGGACACTGAAAGCATGAAGGGCGTGGGGTTTTTTTCCTAAAAAATTAGGCCTAAATTAAAGCTTGTGGTGCACGCTCAACATTTCTATTGTAGATTTTTAAATACCAGTATGCTAGGGAGATGAATAAATAAGCTTTTGCTTGTTTTCATATACTATATTTGTTAATATGTAAATTCAATGTTATATCCAAAATAAAACTAAAACAAGCTGTTTATCACTTTATGATGTTATTCTATAATATAATGTATAGAAGGCACATATACAAATTAGACTGTTGACATTAAGAATGAAAGAAATTACAGGTTAGTGGGGTAGCCAGGCCATCGACGTAGTCTACTGTAGCAGTGTCGGTACTTGGTAGATATGCACATGCAGTTCTTGTAGTCAATAACGCCTATAGTATAACATATATGCTATTTGTAAATAATATTTCTTGTTCAACACGAAAAAAAAGTATTCCTTTTTCAAACCAGTATTATTTTTCTACTTTTTAATATAGCAGTCTAAATTTCCCTGCTTTCGCATCCTCGTGTTGTTCTCAGTGGCAGCCATTTTGACAGTTTCGATAATCATGACATCAAAAATGAAGACTATGACAATGACATACATCTAAGAGAGAGCTTGCATTTCTTCATTCGGAATCAAGGTTGCATTATTTTAATAATAATAAACAATTTACGAATTCATGATAACAAGCTCTTTATTAATTTTCCTTTGCTTTTGACACTCGAATCGACAACGAATTGTCCACCATATTCCACATACATATCAACGATATTTCTTCATTCGGAACCAAGGCTACATTATTTTAAAAATAAACAACAATTTATATACGGTATATAATATGAGAAAGTTTATTATTAATTAGACGAACAAGAAATGAAATGAAGTTTAACGTCCTACTGTTCTGCTCCTATCGCCTACTCTTACATGTATATCGAATTCCAACTGCCAAGGAATTTTTTATGTGCATTCCAATGTATACACGGGACCTCGGTTTTCGTCTCATCCGAAGGACTAGACAGCTGTCCATGTCAGGCCCTCCATTCTGCACCACTGACATGGGGAAACCACGTCGGAAAATCCCGATAAACTTTCTCGGCCAATACTATCGATTATCGACAGTAAAAATCACTATTGATGCCCAGCACTAGTTTAAATTAATATTACGCAAAATTATTTTATTAAAATTAAATTACTGATCAGTTTTAGCTGAAAATTGGCCTAATTTAAAAGGCGAAATTTGCTGATTTCCAGCTTCTTATCTAATGACACCCCTGCAGTAGGCCCTAACATCATAGTTACTGTGAAGTTGGATTGTCTAAATAAAAGAAAATCTATACATTGCAATACACCTGTCTTACAAAACCAAAACTCTCAACACAAAATTTGGCATATCAATGTTCAGTTTTATACTAGGAGAAATGAAATGAAATGGAGTTTAACGTCCTACTGTTCTGCTCCTAACCTGGGCTAATGAAGACGGGCATACGCCATACAGTGTGCAATGAGGGAAATTTTGCCCGGACAGCGGCACTACGGCCTACTCATACATCGAATTCCAACTGCCAAGGGTTCTTTTACGTGCACGCCAAGTGAACACAGGACCTCGGTTTTTCGTCCCATCCGAACGACTAGACAGCTTTCCTTGTCAGCCCCTTAGTCCTGCATCATACTAGGGGTTTGTGTAAACAATAATATGCAAAGTATTCGTATTGATATAAACTATTCTAATATTCTCGTCACAGAAGCCGAGAACCGAAGGGTTATCTATCAAAAACTTAATTTCTTATTCTTGTATACATGTACTTCAAATGTTAGTCATCAGTCCATCATCGAATCTTTACATTAGTGAGACAAAGCATCCTACATGTATTGAATTTCAGCACATGATTAATTTCCACAGTTATTGCCCTTTATCAATCTGTAGAATCTTATGGACTACTCGGTTGACTTAGCAGCCTTTCAACATATCATAAATTTAATCTGTAAGACAATGTTGAGATTTGACAATTATGTTCAAGCCCAATATGCCGTAACAAATATTAAAAGTTAAAAAGTAAGGAAGGTGCTGGCTCACTAACCAGAAGTTTAATCCCGATTGCAGTTTTGGACGAGAATTTTTCAGCATGGTTTCCTCCTGTTCAATGGTGCATATTAGCATACATGTGTTGTTATAGAACAGTTGGCACATGAAATTCAGGGAAAAATTTATCTCATACATGTATCACACTGCATGGTCTAAAATTAATAATCTTAAGCAGACATGTTATTCAAAACAAACTCTGTAGGAAAGCTATGACCAAATCGGGCACCACCCCCTATCCTGGAATCTACACCTGTGTATCAGGGATTCATTTTTGGTGAACGCTTAAGCGCTCGCACTCCTCTTGAACATAAAATGTGTGTGCGCGAAAAATATGATTTAAAAAAATTTACAATTTTTCAAGACAAAAATTTTGTCATATACACCCTGAATCTACTACAATACAATGATGTTTGTTTATAGAAATCTTAATTGTTTGCTTGGTTTGTGAAACCCAATTAGTTGGAAAGAATAATCCTTTTATATTTAATGATAGTGACAAGAGGAAACAGTGTCATTTATGTTCAAGAATTTCTTATCAATGTACATGTAATTCACGCGACTTGAATGAAACAACATAGGTAATTGGCAGAACGGAGAGGTCAATCTTCTCTGCACACAGTAATAAAGTGATTTTTTAGTTCTGTGTTTATCATTATGGCTGAAAACAGTAACCGTGTTTAATTGCATACATTCAAAAACCGGAGCGTGTCATTCAGTTATTAGGTTTAGTGAATTAACAGCTATATAATATCTTTATCAGGTGCCACAGAATGAATGGGCTAATGAAGATTGGCATATGCCATACAGTGTGCTATGACTATGAGGGAATTTTTGCCCAGATAGCGATGCTACAGCCTACTCTTATATCGAATTTCAACTGCCAAGGGATCTTTTACATGCATCCGCCCTCCGTTCTGCACCACCGACACACCGAAAAATCCTGATGAACTTTCTCAGCCAACACTGGGATCGAAGCTGCGACATCCAGGCCAGCAAGCCAGTATCTTCTTCACTTAGCCACCATGGCTCTTTTCCAAATACAAATTGAGGATTAAACAGAATGCCAATTGTCATTTTGTATAAAAAAAAGGGCTCTATCATTTTTGAAAACAATGTACACTTTGTCTGCCCAAGCTTAGAGCACCTGTCATTTGATATTTTATATGTTGTTATATGAAATGGTGGCCTGGAAATGTGAATGCCTATGTATGTACATGTAAATATAGAATTGGATTTAAAGTGCCAAGACAATAAATACTTCAGTCATTTTGAGACTACATGTAAACTATGGAAATGAAATGGGGTTTAACGTCCTACTGTTTGGCTCCGACTGGGCTAATAAGGATTGACTAAACTACTATGATCATCAGATTTTCAACCCTCTCTTTTGATTCCCAGCTGCCAAAGATTCTTCTTTTTTCCTTGTACCATTTGAACAAGAACTAGGTAATGAACTAAGTACACTTTCCTGCCAGCCTGTGACAAGTAAGTCTGGACATGCCAAATAAATGTAGGTTCTTCTTGCCCCAAATTTATTATATTGATAATGCTTGTAATCATTGCTTCATATACTAAGTAAGTAGGCTATCCACAGTGTGTACCTTTGTAAAATTACTAACTAAAATCAAACAAAAATCCAAAAGTACCTTGCTGGTTTACTGACAGGGTCATTATTACATGTACGGTAGTTAATCATGTTTTGGTACATGTATGTGAGTGCTTGGATAGTGTGTACTGTTATGATGTACCGTCCCAGTAACCCGATATAAATGTGGGCATAGGCGCTGATAGTGTGATAGACCTGCTACTGTTCTCTTTATGGTTCAATTATTTTGATTCTTTTTCCTTTGAATGCTATGTCAAGAGAAAATCAGACAATTATCAGACGGTGGAGAGGTAATCATACTTTGATGACAGTAGGCCTACATCATACTACATGTACTTTTGGTAATCTTGTCATTTATATAAGTTTAACTGTACAATTGTAATACAATTTAACCCATAATAATGCAAATGGTTTACAAAGTATACTTGTCCATAAAGTGTTGTTTCATAAAACCGAGTAAGAAAATTAGTATTCATTTTGCAAATGGTTTACTGAGTATATCTGTCTAAAGTGTTGTTTCATAAAACCGAGCAAGAAAATTAGTATTCATTTATAAGACAAGCAACACCATTTTTTTTTACCAGGTAACTCCAATGTATAGGCTTACTTGATGTGCAGGCAGATGACACAAATAATGATTACACAATCATATTATTTTGATTAACAGAGCATTCACCTTACACAGGCTGACAGTAGGCAATGTGTGGTTATCGGACGTAGGGCACAATGTGCAATGTTGGAAATGACAGTCGGCTCTGGCTCAGTGGCTGGCATTTAATAGAACTCGAGTGCCATAGAAGTAAGGTTACGCCAGTCACCTTTCAATTTATTACATAAGAAATAAAGCATTAAATAAGAACGAGTCAAATATCTTACCTTAACAGCCCTAGGTTTTCGTAGGTAACGTCTCGGATGACGAAAATGATCGTCATAAAAAGAATTCACTTTGACTTGCCCGCATGCAGACTTACTGGTTACTCGCGTTGCCCCCCGAATCCCTTCTTCAGAAGGTTAGAACTGACAATATTTTCACGCCTGGTACAGTAACAGGGCAATTGGTTTGCTGAATTGTTAAGCTGTTTTCTTAACACGGCTTCCAGAAGCCATTTTGGTTCGAAGTTTTGGCATTTATTGCGAATACCTGTCTCAATGATATCGAATTTGCTCCTTACTTCAGTAAAAATGGCAGTCGGTAGCTGTTATGACGTCACAGGAAGTAGAATTCACACGTGGGGGCGCCCTGTTAAGTGAAAGTAAAAGACGGCCAAACAACTTGCGTGTTTCTATCGATTTACCAAAGTGGTTCGTGAATACGGATGAAATTTACTCAACTTTTATTACAATATGAAAGAGATACAAAACAATGTTGTTGTTTTTGTTTAAATAGAACTATAGAAACATTTAGTAGGTTATAGTCATTTTGCAGCCAATTTGCAGGTCAAATTTCGGGGGAAAGGACTAGTTCACCGTATTCACTATTTGTATTTCTTCAGTAAATAACAGGTGCAGTCTGATAAATAATTCTCGTGGATATTAATTAAGATATGGAGCGATTTATACTCTATAGAGTAATAAGAGTAGAAAAAATTTGAATATTATGAATTCGGTCGGGCTAATGAAGACGGATACACATCCTAATAACCCCATGCAATCTTCGTTCATATCAGGAAGCCTAAATATTTCCCGAACGCAATTGCGCCCGCTCTTCGTCGAATTCCTACTTTCTACGTGAATACCAGCGCGTAAACGTGATCACGGTTTTTCTTAAACCAGGTCCATGCTTAAACGAATTGAAGCAGCTATAGCCTATATATATAATTGGCATTGCGCTGATGACCAAATTTTCTCCAAGATAACATATATATCAATCATTTTTTCTTTACATTTAAAAGTACGTAGATTTCATATATACTATAAACATGGCCATATGTAACCCGTCTTCAATTTTAGGTTACCCCCCCCCCCCTCGAAAAAAACCCAAAAGACCGATAGAAATCATAATCTTAAATACAAAATCCGCCCAGTAACAAATATATGAGAGGGACATCACAATTTTATGCCCAATGTTTGCAAGGAGTAGCTCCCAAGCTTCATTTTCTTCAAAGTATAATGCTGATCTAATCAAACGTATTTTCAAATTGATAATACCCCTCTACTCGTTAATTTTTTGGAATTCTAGCCAAGTTATCTCCCTTATTATTGCTTATTGAAGTCATTCAGCAGATGAACGCCGTCAAAAGGTCAAAGCCTACCTCGTTGCATAGTTGTTTTGATAGCAATACATGTATGTACCATTATGTGTCTTATTATCCGCTAGTTTGTCCCCCACGTGTTAGTGTTTGGCTATGTGGTGCTGCGAGGTTGTCCTGAGCTAAAGCTACTAATTAAACATGCATTATGCAAGAGCTAAATCTGCCTATTGCAGGTCTTTCTTTAGGCCTGAAATGTTATATAAACTATTAATTAGACATTAATTAAAGTATCCAGAACATAATCAACTCTCGATGTCAGCGCTATCCTGCGATAATTGTTGGATTATGATCCGATTTGCTGCATAACTTTCCTTCTCAATTTAACGATTAAGTGGATAATCGAGACTATGATTTTTGTCGTACCGACTTTAGTAATGATGACCGAGGCTATGCGGAACTTTCGGTCGCTTATTTCTCGGTTCATAGTGGATCAATTTGACTGAAATTTTCAGCAAATTGCCTTTACATTATCTAGTTTTTAACTATTATAGTGAGAACTGCCAACTCGTTATCTAATCTCCCATAATGTATCTTTAAATAGGCTACTATTTATTAAGAAAATTGGAAAAAAATGGTTATTCCACTGTCCATGTTTTACCGGAAAACCGTACCTAAGTTTTAGTCACGAAATAAGAGACATTTTTTGTAAGTAAATTGGCACACTAACAAAACTTACGACAGACCTACCGTGTCGTGTAAACCTGGCCCTAATATCAATAATGAATGAATAAAAAGATATAAATAAATATCATATATAGCCTTCTATACCAAATCTAGCCTACCTTTATATAGTCTAATCTTAATTGGTCAAAAATAAAACATCTCCCAACAAATAACAATAAAACAAAAATAGGCTAGGCCTAAGGCCATTTCACTTCTATTTTGTAACTTTTCTAACTTTGTGTAGGGCGAAGGCCCTGGAAAGCAGTGAACAGTAAGTATCTAGTCGCTCATGTTGGGCGAAAACCAGTGGCAGTCAATTCGACTAACACTGGGCGGAAACGCCCCCCGTTTCATTATCCCGTTTGGTGCAGAAACATTATCCCGTTTGGTGCAGAAAAGTAGGACGTTGAACTCCATTTCATTTTTGTGACTTTAAAATGTTGAACAGTTCAGCTTATGTAAAGTTCTGAATTATCGCTTCAGAGTTCATTCGGAAACTTCTCAACAAATGTAAATTTGCAGTAGGCTATTTAGTGGTCCATTTTTTTAAAAAATGATCCCTAATGTCATAATAAATACCCCAGTGCAAATTTTCATGAACGTTTTTTTTATGCTTAGCCGCCCTCTACTATATATGCTACTTTGCTACCATGGGCGTACGGACTGACTTTCCTTTGGTGGTGGGGTGCGGGGGGGGGGGGGGGACTGTATCATATTTATCATATTTGCCCGAAAACAGACACTACGTAAGTCATAATATTACCACAGAATAACCGTACAAAGTAAAGTATAGAAAAATAACGACATGTACCACCAAGCGGAGCGAATTTTTGAGTTTGAGTACTAAACACCCTGAATCAAAATTGAGTGATTTTCTGAAACTCTGGACTCCGGTTGGGAATTGCATCAGACCACCCAATGGTCAGTAAAAGTCCCGGATTTCGGGCACTTCATTTTATTTTGCGGGATGGTATAACTTTCATATCTTTCCTTTTATGTCCACTGAAATCTACGTTTTACATCGTTCGCCACTGCCCTAAAAAATTCTTTTGCCCACAGCCCCCCCCCCACCCGGCTCGTACACGGTACCCCTATGAACGCTACCTCGGACTGACAAAACGAAGTATGTATCGCATTTTCACTCGATACCCGGCTCGGTTCCTTATCAGTTATACTTCTTTATACTGTGTTCCTTGTTTTCTTATATAACCTATTTTATGGCATTTGAGAATTCATTTAGCATGTTGCTTCAATTTTCATATTCATTGTTTTTAAAGAGCTTTTCAACAACACAGCTAATTATTCATCCCAAACTTAGGCTGCCTGTCTAAGCTAGATCCGCCTGAGAACAGGCCACTGATCTATATTATATAGATCAGTGGAACAGGCCCTTAGCTAATTACCCGACATTTTAATTCCTACATCGACGATTTTAGTCCAAAACACTGAGTATGCTGTTAGTAATTTTTAGAAGTATTTATTTCTGTTCTTTGTCATATTGAATGAAATTAAATATGTTTATTTGGCCGCTGTGTGTATGAAAGATGTCAAACTAATCAAAGCCGAATCACAAAATAGTCCTCTAATTATTCAATATGGCGGCGCACATAAAAGGTAATTTCACAGAGGCGGTTTTGTTTGCGAAGACAAATTTAGGAGTATCTAACCTTGTTTTGAAAGACAAATAGATTGAAACTCTAAAGACAGTTTACAATGGCAAAGAATGTATTGCAATATTACCCACTAGCACATATTATATATCGCATTTACCGGATTGGCAGAAGTTGACATGTGTTTACATAAAACACGTGCTTGATCGGGTTATTTTTACTCTGTTGTGTACACAAAGCTGTAGTCCAGTCGATAAGTCCCGCCCCAAAATGACCACATGAGCGTTTTAAATGGCGGCTAACTAGGGCAGTGATCATAATGACATATGACGTAGATGGATCGCTGCGTGCAGTTTGCTGATTATTATGAGTAAACATCTTTTGGTGTTGTATTTCTATTTTATTTACAGTTTTTATGCGCCCACATTTTCATTTGGACGTATATTGTATGATTATAACCCAAAGATCTCGGTTCCTTTCGATATTCGCGCATATCGGACCGTAACTTCCTGAATTATGGCCCCTGATTGTACGAAAAATCGCGTTTTTAGCTTGTGGACCCTATAGAGGTCATAATTTTTATCCGATTTAAAAAAAACGTATTATTATATCACCGTTACACCCTAAGGACGACTGAGTCCGAATTTCGTGAAAATCGGCCCAAAATTGACAGACAAAATGGCCGCCGTTCGTTCTCAAATAGCGTAAAAATATGGTATATCAAGCTTGTGGACCCTATAGAGGTCACAATTTTTTTCCGATTTTGTTGACACTTGAAATGTAAGTTTGTAACTCAAAGATCTCGGTTCCTGTCGATATTCGTGCATATCGGACCGTAACTTCCTGAATTATGGTCCCTGATTGTACGAAAAATCTCTTTCTTTTTAGCTTGTTCTCTGTCCATCTCTCGAAAATGTGGGCGTATCCTGCCTGGCAGCCGCTGTTTTTTTAAAAACGTCTTTTTATATTATTAGTCTACGTAGGTCAAATGTATAGTGTATACTATTATGCCTGCAGCTATTTTACGTGCAAGAATGTCAAAGCTAATAAGGCCAAATAATTATTAAAATAATTATTAAAAAAAAACTAAAACCGACGGAAACTGACCACAGTACCAACCGTGGTATTCTGTTGAGTGTTCGGTGCCCTTAGCGCGACCTCTCTCTGCTTTATATGATCTCCCCATAATCCTTTTATACCCAAATATGTATCATCACAATGACTCTTCTTATAAATTTACATCAAACAATAACAAAAATCTGATGAAAATCTGCTTCACACACTTGTGTGTGTGGGGATGGGTGCGTGTGTGTGTGTGTGTGTGTGTGTGATAAGGGGGGGGGGGTCAGCTGGGACACTAATCTAGGGGCCCGGAGCCCAGAAGGACCCGGAGATATGCCGACTAATGTTTTAAAATAAAGTTTTGGTATAAATTAATAAAGATATACACTGTTAGTTGATCGTAAACTAGAAGAAATACAAAGTGACTTTTCTGAATAGAGGTACCTAGTGGCGTGGGTAGGATAAGAATCAGATTCTGTGAGTTCACTTTTTTTTCTTTTTTTTTTAAAAAAAACTATACGCCACCTGCTCGGGCCTTTGCACTGTGGGGCCCAGGCCCGTCCTCGTTCTGTTTGAGGCTCTCGTCCCCGTCAGTGTTTCCGGGCACCGGCAAT